TTGCTAATGTCATGTACAATAGTTTGATCAGTGGTTTTTGTGGATTAACGAAAATAATCCATACCACTTGGGATATAGTATATTGCTTCATCATCTGTTTTCATACTTTTATTTCCAGTTTTATGAAAATTTTCAATATAGAAAAGTTCACAGCATACTCAATGTTTATCTATATTGTCTCTGTTAAAAATTATATACGCTTCTAAATGCTGTTCTGTGTAAGAAAACTTGTTCACTTTTGACTTAGTCAATACATGTATTATTTTAGTGGTACATCTATATTATTAGCGTAGTGGCTATTAAAAAATTTGTCACTTAATTTGATGTTGAATTCAATGACTATAAAAAGAAGATCAGCTGGTTTGTTGTGTATGAAAATTGCAATACTACTTCGGTGTTTTCATTATCAACATTAGTTGTTCGTTTTTAAGAAAGAATGCTAAATGTTTCTATCAGTGCATATCACTTGAACTGAATTATATAAACTTTAGAGATATTGTCTATTGCTCAATATAAGAGTTCATCTCCAAAATGACCTATTATCATTAATGTTCATGATATTGAAGTAAATTGTCTTGATGTAATTGTTATGATATTTTACTTTGAAAGCGCATAAAATAATCTTGTTTCACACGTAAAAATAGTTGTCTAATAATGAATGACGAAAAAAGTTAATATAGTAGCAACAAGAACGAGGACAGTATCGAGGACAGAACCATTAAGAGGACATAAAAAAATGAGAAAAATCAATACTGAAGTAATTATAGAACAGTGCATACCAGAGAATATGAGTTACGTGAATAGTGATAGTATTTTCTTTCGATTATAATAAAAACTCACTTGACTACTCTTTCAGTTGCATTTCACTAGGAATATATGCCTGGCTGAGTGTAGTGTTAATGATGAAGAATGCCATATATTCCAAAAAAAACAGTGTTCGACGATTCTAATTATGTTATACCGATTACTATAAATGAAAAATTTCTAAATAATCAGTATCTTCATAAATGGTATCACATATAGTCGAGTACGTATTAATCGAATTCTTTAAAAATCGAGACTCCTTTAAATGAATTCCGGTTCGAATAGAATTTATACCCTAAAAGCTTCAGCATTTCATTTAAAAATATAATTTCTTAAATATAGTTATTGTATAAGGCAAATCTCCTATCAAATTTGAGGTATGTATATGTCAAAAGTTAAATTTAATGAAATATTTCTTTGCATTCTTTTAAATGAGTTCTCAATTTACACCTTTCCACGGATAACAGCATAATAAAAACAAACATTAGAAGTGAAATATGCTGCACTTGGTAAACTTAATATAGAGTATGTTTTCTAACTATTCTTCAAGTTTAATATGATCGTTGACGCATTCAATGCAAGCAAAACATATCTTATTCTGTTGCTAAGATCTTATATATCTGTAAGAGTATTGTTTAAATTGCTTGTAGATATGAATAAAGTATGAAACGTACACGAGGAATTTCATTTAGTATTTGTATTCATTCTTTCGAATGCAATAATCAAATGTCATTGAAGCAAAAAAAGAGAGCAAATTTAACGTAGACAGCATGCATCGCAAATCATAATAAAAGTATACCACTGAGCTCCTCTTTTGGATGTATACTAAACTATTCTAGAGAGGGTGTAGATGGAGAATAAAGGATCCACACTCCATACCCACATCATTCCATTCGTTCGTCGAAGCTCTTCTAAGCTAGATATATATCGCCAAGAATTAATTTAAAGAAAGATTCAATGCGAAAAAAAAAGAACAATCAACTCATAATAAAAGGCATATATCATCTATATAACTTGATAAGCAGTATTACAAAATAACTTTTTTTTTACTATCACTGTAATCACCAAAACATAATACAGAAGAGATCAACACTGGCACCTACACCCACACCCACACCATCAGTATGTGTATAAAATTCTTCAAAAAATTCAATAAAAATATTATTTGGCGAACTGATTCATCTTTCCTGCTATTACATAGACACATACATTTTGACCTTATTGACCTTTTCTTTCTTTCACGCGTTGCACGTGATTTGTGATTTATTGATAATTAGCTTACCTGATGACGGTCAATTATCACAATACACAGAACCAGTTCATTCATCATAAATCGGTTCATAATTCTCGTCATAATTCAACTGCTCAATTGGTTAGTAATTCGTTAAATTTAGTAAATGATTACGAATATGATCCTACTACGCACATTCATTACCGCATGAACAGAAACAGTTTACATAATAATATTCAAGCACCATCTTCTCCAATTAATAATCAATCTATCGATTCACCTGCAAGATCCATCAGACGTTTACATTCCGAGGACCACGATGAAGATTTTACAACGGTCACGTACAAGAAAAAAAAGAATAATAATAATAATAACTCGATGCTCAACAAGAATCAGCTGTACCAACAACTCTCGCCTGTTAACAACAGCAATTGTCAATCTTCATGTCAATCACACAATCATCGTATTATAACTAATTCTAATTTGATACAACAAAAAGTTTTACATGATTCATCTCAGCAATCTTGACATTACCATTGCTGAAAACACGTTATGCTCAAACTAGATTTCCCTTTCCACCATTCATAATTCGATTTTCAACTGGAAATGTTAAGGACAAACAAGCTGCCGAAGAAATCTCGTTATTTTTTAAAAATGAACATCAAATCGATATCTTATTTTCTAATTATAGATCATCAACTATGAAATGCTCCTCCAACGAATATGATATTCTTCTTTTTGTCAAAGATGCTAATTCATTTACTAGTCTTTTAGATGAAGATAAATGGCCATCTCAAATTGGTTCGCAATTTTGTACATTTCCTTCATCACCTCATATTCCTCCCCAATTATCACTTATTATAAAAAATGTTGATTTTCATATGGATATGAATGATTTCACGGCGGATTTAACGGCAAAATTTCCTGAAATTAAGAATGTCATTAGATTAAAGAACAAATTTCAGCAAGACATTAAAATTGTTAAAATTAAATTCGTGTCAACTTTAGCTCGTGATCAGATTTTAACTGCCGGGAAAATTAATATTAATTATAGATCATATGATGTAGAAGAATATATTGCTCCGGCTAGAGTACTCATCTGCAGCAAGTATTGTGGCATTGGCCACTTTAAGTGCCAATGCACGCAATCGAATGTAACATGTAAAACTTGTGGACAATCTTTCCCAGATTTAAAACAACATCATTGCTCAAATCAACCTAAATGTATTCATTGTGGCGGTGAACACTTATCTAATGTGGCTAGTTGCCCGGTGGTCAAACAATTTCGTGCCGCATTAACTAAAAAATTGTTAATCACGAACTACAATTCAACACCAACACTCAACTGCTTCAAATATGACCCTGCTCAATTTCCTCAATTATCCTCTTCACGTAACTCATCAATTACTGGCTCACATCACAAGATTTTATCTAAACTAGATAAACTGGTTATTAACATGGAAAAAGTGAACAATAATATCTCTAAAATAACAATTTGTGAAGAAAAATTCGAGAAATTTATGCAGGATAAAATTATTCAACAAGATATAAATGTATTAAAACGTAATGATAAAACTCTCGAAGCCCACCAAGTTCAACAGGAATTAAAATTGAAAAGACATGAAAATATTCTAGTTAAATTATTGGTGCCAATGCTTGATGAAATGTCCAAAGTTATTCTAACACTTAAGCACGATCAACATGGTCGTCCTTTTGAACCTGGTCTTAAGACGAACTTCGAGATAACTCGTACAAAATTCAAATTAGTCTTAGAAGGTAAAGATTTGTCATGACTCTTTCTCCTCTTGCTATTCCTTTCTTTTTCTGTTCGTCTCAAATACTACTTTCCAAAAGAGAGAATTTATTATGAACGGCGCGTTCTTGCTTATCTGATTTTGATTTTTCTCTTCTTAATGAAATCTTATATGATTGGGAAGGTAGCCATTTACTATCTTCTTGTTTCTCTAAATGGAAGTATTATCTCCCTAGTGAATCATCTGTTGAAAATTCTCTCCACATTTTATCCTTCAATGTGTATGGTCTTGATTTACGTCTTCAAGAAGTTCTATTACTTTTTACTTCGTTCAATTTTGATGTACTTATTCTTCTTGAAACAGGTCTAATGGATTTTTCTTTCTGCAGCCAAATCTTCTCAAATTTCAACAACTATTATCAGAAAGGTGAAAATAGCTATGGAGGAGTGGTGAAGATGGTTAGGAAGTCACTAAAATCAGAAAGAATTTGTTGCTCCCTACCCAATATTTGTGCTGTTGATATTTCTAACGATGTGGATAAAGTGAGCATCATTGGTATCTATGCCCCAGAAAGTCGTAGTTGGAACTGGGATGATACATCACAATTCATAAAGCCCAAGTGTGTGTTATAAGGAGATTTTAATATTGATTTAAGAAAAGATAATCCTAAAGCCGAAACACTTTTGGCTTGGGCTGATGCCCACTTTCTAGCACTCTTTGTACCTGAATCATCTACTTCTCTTAGATTGGATTGAATAATAGATTTTGCATTCTGTAGTGGACTTACCATTGATATTCAAACATATAATGGAAATACCACTAGTGATCATTGACCGCTACACTGAAAGAAAAAAAGGTACCGTACCGAGCTTAATAAGGTTTCGAATTTTGAAACGAATTCTAAACCTTTTTAAGTTTCGTACGAAACTGGTTCGGTATGAAACTTGTTTGAAAAACCATA